CTTCTAACAGTGCCACTCCCTATGAGATTATGGGGATCACTTATGTTCAACCCACTTATGTGAGTGTGGATCTAAGGATCTGGAGGGTGTTTCCTCATAGGAAACACACCTCATTTCTCATGACTTTCATTTCACCCTGCCTTCAAGAGGGCTCCACCATGTCTGCTCAAGAAACTGACCTAGGATGCACTCGGCGCAGCCACCAGGATCCCTGCACTCAGAGTGGGCTAGGAACCAGGCGCCAGGCTGCCTGTGGGACTCTGTCGTCAGTCATCTCAACAGAATGAGCAAACCCCTTGACACTTAACCGTCCAGCTCCCTATACACACGGTCACAGTGATCTGGAAGGTTCTTGACAAACAAGTCTCTTATAGCCTAGCTGCCTGTGATGCCACCCTGGACAGTGACTGGCAGAGGAAGAATCTGTTTCTAAGCTATTGTGCTCTTCAGAGCATCCTAGAAAAGGCCTGAGACACACATCTATATCCACATGCATATATACACACACACAAAAACACACATCAATACCCACAGTCATATATATATGTGTATATGTACCTCTATATACAAAATGTACCTCCAAGTACAGATGTATACATTCACACTGACACACATGTATATCCACATGAAGATCTATACATATATGTATTTATACCTATACATATCCATATCCACATGTATATATATATATACACATTGATTAACACATTTATAGGCATCCATACATGAGCATATACATACACATACATAAACATCCACACACAATAGATGTATCCGTACCCATTCCCACACACATTCATACACACATCTAAACACACACACATACTGCGGTGGTTTGAATGATATATGTACGATAGTCTTAGGACACTTGGTTGTTGGTGCTGTTTGGGGAAGTGTAGGAGGTGGCATCTTGCGGAAGGAAGTATACATCACTGGGGATAGGAGTTGAGAGTTTAAAGACTCGTGCCATTATTTCCATTTCGACTCTCTGTATTTGTGGTTCAAAATGTGAGCTCTCAGATTGCTTCTCTAGACGCCATGCCTACCATGGTGTTACCAGGTTACCCCTGCCACCACGGAGGACTTCAACCTCTGCACACCTAAGTCCACTAAGCTCTTTCATAAGTCCCTGAGGTCATGGTGTCTTCTCACAGCAACAGGAAAGTAACACACACACACACACACACACACATCCGCACACCCACAGCCACCCACAGCCACGCACCCAGCACATCCACGCTTTCCACACACATCAAAATATGCGTGCTCTACCTCCTCTTCTACTTCAGTTTTCAACATTACGACAGCTAGCATGAACCCACTGACTTTCATCACATGTGGACATATGTGGACATGGGGTATCTGTGTGCAAGGAGTGATTTGAAAACGGGGTTTTCTTTTCCTCGTGTGGCTGGACCCTTGGCAATCTGTAAGAAGGAAAATCCCTGCCTGGCTACGACACATCAAAGCTGTCCTGTGGGACTGTGCCCAAGACCCCCATTTCCTTGGTGACCAGATGGCAGAGAGCAGAAGCAGGGCTTTGGACTGGGGACCTGACTTGGTTTTTCTCTGTAGTTTGTGTCTCCCTGTGATGCCAGCTCCCATTCAGAGCTGGCCAGTTGGCATGGATGTGGCCCCTTCTGCTTGCTAAGTTTGTCTTTGGGGCCCAGCCAGGTGGACACCGGAGCCAACATTTCCCTGGAAAGCATTTAACTCCACAGGGTAGGGCTGGGACCTGACAGTGCTGTTGGGGTTGCCGATGGCTGAGGTGCTCCATCCACGATGGGCCAGTCCCTCACTGTCTACAGAGTGGAGGCTTGGAGAGACATCCTTGGGGTTCCTCTATGTGGTGGTTTGTTCCTCCAGGAGGGTGGAGTTGAAAGTCCAGCAGGGCAGGTCAAGACCCTAGCTCCAGCGTGGTGGTGTTCAGAACATGGTGGCCCAGGAGCACTTCAGGCCACTCTGATGAGTATGGGGGATGGGGAGGAAAACTAAGTGACCTTGACCACCATTGGACATTGCCTTTACATTCCTCCCTCCTTCACTGTGCACAGACCCAACTCTATTGGCCAGCAGGGGAGCAGGCCTGGCACTGTGGCTCAACCACAGGACTGGGTCAGCAAGGTCAGCTGACGTCTCGTTACATGGAAAATGGACAGAGGGCCCAAAAGCAAGTGAGAGAGAGAGGCTTGGGCAATCCCCCAGCCTCAGCCAGACAGCACTCATCATCTCTTTTGGTGAATGTTGACAGTGCTCCCCCCGCCCCCCCTCACCCCGCCCAACACACACACACCCCTGCTACTTGGACTGGGAACTCCTGGCTGTGTCTTCCACTTCATGTGGCCCTGTAGCCCAAGAGGGTGCTATCACAGTGACAAGTGATGCAGGCATATTGTCCTGTTAGTTTTAGAACGAGGAATTTGATTTGGCTCACCTGGCACGGATTACAAATTCTGTCATGAGCTCCTTAGCTCTCAATTAGCTGCAACCGAGGCAATTGGAGCACATGCACATGTGTGTGTGCTCAGTGTGTGTGTGTGTGTGTGTGTGTGTGTGTGTGTGTGTGTGTGTGTGTGTGTGTGCGCGCGCGCGCGCGCGCGTACACTCATGTGGGTATGCTCAGGCTGGTACTATGTGATAGAGCTAAAATACCAGAGCAGAAAGGGAAGCTGTGCTCAGGGTGGTGGTGAGTGAGGGTTCGGACTGTCTCCTTTTTGGTACTCCGAGTCACAGGCTGCTCCTGTGAGGTAGATGTCACAGGTCACTAACTTGCACCTCCCATCCCAGCAAATTCCTCTTTGTTCCTTTCTTCTCCCTCCTACACCCTCTCACCCAGAGCCTTGTTCCCAACAAACCGGTGTTCTAGAATTGAGAGCAGAGGAGAAAAAGACTGCAGGATGCTGGAGCTCAGAACAGCTGTTCCCACAGGGCAGAGAGTTGGCACCCCAGGGAGCATCGGTGGAGCAGGGCCTGACGCAGTGATGTGACACCAGCAAACACCAGTGATTGTCCGAACACTCAGTGCTGGTGGTGTTAACAATAACAGTAATACTTTAGAGAACATTTATCACATTTAGTTGTCTAACCACCCTCTAAGAGTCACAGAGAGGTTAAGTAACTCAAGTCACTGCTCAGCACCAGGGGAGTCTAGAGGTGAGTGTAGCCAACACAGATCATAGGTCATAGGTTACCCAGGTGGGGTCTGGGGTGGGATGGCAGCTCAGGACACAGCCATCAGAGGAGAGCCGCAGGTCCCCTCACTAGGCAGGTGTCTACTCAGGCTCCGAGAGAAAGGATTCTCAAGAGAAAGGATATGAGGAGACATCCAAGCTGAGATTTGCCTTTTTTCTCTACCAATGGCCTGGCCACATCCCTTTCAGATACATCGCTGTCTACATAGCCAGCATGTACCACCCGGCTTAGGACCCTGCTTGCTTGGAGAATGCAAACTCTCTTAAAAGAAAGGATTCTTGTGTTTATTTAATTTTTTTGAGACAAGGCTCACTATGCAGACCATGATGACCTTGAATTCCACTTGCCTCTGCTTCCCGAGTGCTGGGAGTGGCGGCATATGCCCTTGATCTGAGTACTCAGGAAGCAGAGGCAGGCAACACCTGGGGTGGGGAGAAACTTGGGGACAGAATGACCTGCTAGAATTGATTGACTAAGTGCATGCAGCTGAAAGATGCTCAGGGAGGATCACGGACTGGTCAGCGTCCCTCCTCACACATGGTGAGCACAGAGTTTAAGACATTTGGATAACAACATCTGCTGCACCCGTGTGCTCTCTCTCTCTCTCTCTCTCCCCTTTCTCTCTTACACACACACACACACACACACACACACACACACACACACACACACACACACACACACAGAGTTTTCTTCCTCTCTCCTCTCTTCTGAGTTCTCTTGTTTGGATCAGCATGGGACAAGGAGGTGGTGTGGGGGAGATATCCTTGTTCCTGCTTTGCTGCCTCTCTTCAGTGGGGTAGCTTTTGTGTATAAAAGTAAATAAATCTTAAAACCTTTTTTGTCATGGTTCTGGAGGCCATGGTGCTGGCAGAGTCTCTAAACAAATCTCTGCTGCGCAAGTGGCTTTGGCTGGGTCCTGGGTGGTCCTAGCTGGGATGCTGGGATTAGCCACCTTCTTGCTCCAGCAGAGTAAGAGGCAGCCCAGGGCTCCCAAGAATGTAAAAGTGGAAGCTGCCAAGACTTCCAAGCTTATGCTAAAGTTGGCAGCATGGCTTTCCTGCTTAATTCCCCTGGGCCTGGCCCCAGTGAAGGGGAGGGGCCAGTCATCCAGAGTGTCATGTTTGGGTTGGGCTATTATGAAGAGCACACTCTAGCTGAGTCTAGGAAGAGGACCTGGCCACCTTCCCTAACCTCAGTCTCTAAGGACCCTTTCCCAGAGGCATTGTTGTATGCCCGTGGACCTTTAATTCTTTATGCTTCCCTTCTGTCCTCTCTCACCATAGCAGCTACCTTTTGGGCCTAGGATCTGAACCCAAAACGGAATGCCCATCAAGGCGAGACAAGTGGGGTAGTTAGTCCCGGCAGGCAGGACAGATGGTAGCAGTGGTGACAGCATTTCCACCTAGGGGTCTGGAGGAGTGGCAATAATAGTCCCTCTAGTCCCCTTGTCAAAAGGCCATATGCAACGGGCCGAATATTGGCTATGAGGTGAGCAGCTGGTGGAGGGAGGAGGTGAGAGGCCGGGTTGGGAAGGGGTATGCTGCTGAAGTCACTGGCCCCTTGTCCCCTCCCTCCTTCCTCTGGGTCAGCCCAAAACACGTCACAAGTAAGGTCACCAGGCTATCGAAGGCAGGGTTCCCCAGGTCACAGAGCTGGATTCCCCAAGGCCCCTACGTGAGGACCACCCCAGCTAGCACAAAGGGACATTGCCTCTCTGGCTCCAAAGGGAGAGGTCACCAGGAGTCACCTGCCACATCATAGCAGAGGAGCAGGGGTTAGCTCGAAGAGACAAAAGTGATCGTGAAGACGTGAGAAATGGCATTCTTTATTCATAAATAAAAACATAAAATTACCAGAAATAGTTTACAGAGCCAACAAAGAACTTCAAAAATAAAACAAAAATGAAGCCGTCAAGAGCAAAGCAAACCAGGAACAAGGGAGAGAAAAATAACTATGTACACAGTCTTCAGAACACCAGGCCCCCGGAAGCCAGCCTCTGCCACGGGCTCCAGAGTGGTCCACAGGGAAAGGAGGTGCCGCTGAGGGGTGCTGGGGTCTCTATGTGGCATCTGAGGAGAGCTCAGATCCTAGGGAAATCTCTGGTCCAGCCTGGCTTTACCTGGGACATCTCTCGCACCAAAGACACAGCCAAGCTGGAGCCAGGGCCAAGAGGACCAGCCAGTGTCTCTCGGAAAGAGGCCAAGTCCCCCACATGGTCCTCCGCTGAAGCTGAAGTTCACCTAGGGAGAATAGAAAGGAGCAAGGAGGTGCCCCATGGGAGTCTGGGCATTGCAAGACCTGAGGCAGGCCCTTTCTGTGAGGTGATGCTGGCTGGTATTCTTCCTTCGGAGAGCAGCAGCATTCCCAGGCCAGGCACCTCTGGGGAACAGCATGGATCTGAGACACAAACCATGGCTGGCGACTTGTCTGCCCTGAGCCCGCACACCCCAGTCCCTACTCAATGACTCTTCCAACATGGGCATGGACCACAGATAGCAAGAAGGCTTTAGGACAGCGAGGGAAAGAAAGCCCCCAGGAAGGCAGGGTTACTGGGTTACAGCACAGTAGCATCTTGGAGGTACCTTGGGGTCTAGCCATCTTGGGTGGGTGTCTGCCATCTTGACTGTTGGACAGGTCCCAGGCAAAGGTCTCAAAGATGACCTGGGGCAGGGCCACTGGGCAGTGCCGTGGGCAGAACTCCCCGTGAGTAGAAGGTACCCAGCACAGAGACAGAGTACACGCTTTGTGCCCGTGTGCCTGCCCCAGGCATGACACTGGCTTCTTCCTGAACAAGGACTCCACGGCACGGCACTGAGCTCCTGACTGTTCTTTCAGAAGGCGGAGTCCCCCGGTTTAGGGAGGCACGGCTAACCAACCCTCATCTTGTTCTCCCTCTGCTGGACAGTCTCAGTGGGAAAGAGGACTCACACAAGGCACAGACTGGTAGAGAGCAAAGGACGGAGGGCCATGGACTTTTTATCTGGGCTGGGAGCTGTGCCCAAGGGAGAGTATGACCCTGCAAGTTGGGGATGTCGTCTTTGGCCTGTAGATTGATTCCAGGTTTAACTCGAGCATGTGGCTATGGGAAATGGTAGACCAGAAAACACTTGACCTTGGAGAAGCCAAGCCTAGCCCCAGGATCAGACGGCAGCGCCATCTACAGGGGAGGTGCCTAGCCTGCAGACACTAGGCAAGGAAGGAAGCCTGCGGGAAGACAAGGTCAGCGGGCTGGAGTCCACCCAGAGACTCCAGGGGCCAGTGTTAGGGAGGTAGAGCTAGACTTGGTTCCTGGACCCGCCAAGCACCCAGACCCTCCCATCTCCTATTCCCTGGGTCCCGCCCACCAGGCAAGCACATGGCTCAGGAATCCAACAAGGGCTGGGTGTCCCTACCCACAACAGCTGTGGTAGGGGCCAAAAATAGAATATGGAGCAGCCTGGCTGCCTGCTTAATCTGGCTTGCTTTGGAAAATACAGAATGGGAGGGGGAGGGAAGAGAAGAAGATAATTCCTTGAACTAAGCAACTGTACTTCCCTCTGCCCCTAGCACTGGATGTCTTCAAAGGATAAGTCCAGGCTCCCACAGGTTCGCACGCACACTGCTCTCTAGACTGAATCTTCACAGCACGGGGCTCCACATGGAGGGAGGAGCGTGAGTGGCATGGGCTAGTCACAAGGCTCTGTGTGTGTGCCCTGGATCCCTCCCGCCTCGACTCCGCCGACCCACTTGGCACTCTGGTGACCCTTCTTCCTAATCTATGAAGATTCAGAACACAGCCCTTATAGAAGATGCTGGAAGGGAAGAGCTGCTGCTGACTTGGGCTGCAGGCCAGGGAGGCTAATGCCCAGCTCCCCCACACACTATCTAAGTGGATGGGCTATTCTGGATCCAAGCAAGAGCTTGATGTTCGGGGGGGGGGGGGGCAGCGGGGGAGTGGGGGGAGGCAGGCAGATTCCATATTGGCTGCTGGTCAACTGAACCATTCAGGAAGTCCCTGATTTGGCCTCGGCTGATGAAGTAGGAGGCTCCTCTGGAACAGCCGGGAAGCTGTGCCTCATGTCGTTTCCTGGTACCCTACCTGGGCCCCCAACGTCTATGGCTTTAAAAAGGGTGACCACTGAGGTCAAAGGGGCTGTGCAGCTCATTTTAGACCCTGGATCCCACTGTCTGCCATGTTCTCTCCCTTCACCTCTCACTCTGACGCCTGTGAGGCCTGTGAAGGTTCTGTAACGTGGGACTGTCCATCCATCCCCTCTCGTCCCATGGCTTGCTGGCTAAACCGTGTGGCAATCCAAACCCCTCCACCTCCGCGGTCAGAGAAGAACAGGCCGTAGTGAAGAGTGTCCAAGGCTTCTGGTTGTGCATGGCTTCTTTCTATCTCAAGGCACCCCAATATGCCTAGGGGAGGCCAGGGGTTGGGGATGCCAGGGAAGATGTGTCTGTCCCTGGGTAGCCATGTGGCCTGTATGGCAGTTGCCCCCTTCCCTGGTGGAGTGCTTTTCTCACTACTTTGAATGAGACCAAAGCTGAAGGAAACATCAACCAGTACATGAAGAAGCTCCCTGAACACATCTCGAGGAGAGTTTGGGGTTCAGAGATCAAGGTCCAATAAGCAGCAGGGTTAGTTAGACTGGAAAAGGCAAGAGGGAAGGAAAGGCTGTGTGGTGACCCCTACCCACCACTGGGGACTCCTGAGTCTGGGCCCCAGAGTTGACTTCTCCTCAGGGGGTGCTCAAAATGCTTCTTTGAACATACTCAGCCCTCCCTGCCTTCTGGGGTCCAGTCCCCATCCCTCCATCCCCTAGGCAGCCCCTCAGATCTCAGTGGCTATGATGTCCTCATAGGGGATGTCAGCTCCCTCCAGGTCAATTTCAAAGGGCTCCCCTGCACCATCCCCACGGGCCAGCTGCTGCAGGGCCTTCTCTAGACGCTGGTTGCGCTGGTACATGGCCAAGTAGCTCTGCTGCAGCTGCTTTTGGTACTGAATCACTTTCTCCTTCTCTTCCTTCCACACCAACCGCTCATGCTGGAAGCCAGAGGACATCTGGTCATGGCCTTGCCTCTCCTCCTTCAGCTCAGCCCGAAGTCGCTCCAGCTCCCGCTGCAGAGCAGGGATATCCTCTGAGAAAGTAGGCCCAACCCCCAGAGGCCCCAGGGAGGCAGCATCTCGGTGCAGGGCAGCCTGGGCCCGCAGCTCCAGCAGCTCCTGCTCCAGCAGGTTCACCTTCTCTCGCAGTAGTTCTGCCTCGTTCTTCTTGCGCTGCAGTTCATTCTCACAGACCTCCAGCTCCAGCCCCTTGGTGCGCAGGGCACTCTCCAAGTCCTGGGTCTTCAACTCCATGCCCTCCAGCTTGCCCCGTGTGTCCTTCAGCTGTGCCTTGAGACTGAGGATCTCACTGGCCTTGGTGTTCACCTCTATCTGGGACTCTTTGAGCTGTTGCTTCAGAAGAGAGATCTCACCTGACTTCTGGCACACCTGCCAAGGGTGGGGTGAGAAAGAATGAGACACGGTTGCCAGAAGTGATTGGCATCCTAACCACGATGACATTTCCACTTCCTAGAGGGTTGAGGCTGCTCCTGACAGAGTGCTCCTTGAACACAGTTCTCGTGCATGTACACGATCTATTTTTCTTGCCTGCATTTCCAAGTGCCTGCCTCATCTCCAGTTCAGGCTCCACATCCCAGTCTGTGCTCAAACCCAAGGCTATATGCAACTCAATAATCAATGGCTTACTCTGCAAACTGCTCCCAGTTCTATCACCTACCTTCAGCACTGGGGATATTGGCTTCAGGATGCAAATACACAGACCTGTATGTACCCTCCCCTGCACTCACCTTTGGGGTAAGACTATTTCACTTTGTCCTGCTGCACCCCAAAGGCTAGCCATCCAGTGTGGGATCACAGGCAGTGTCCACCACACATCTGCCAAATAATGGGCGGTGGTCTTCCTCCCTTCCTCGCTTCCCCCAACCACCTCACCTATTGGCCATCAAAATTGGGTCAAGAACACAATGAAGTCAGATCAGTGTATCTCTAGGGTCTTGGCTCTTTGGGGTCATAAGCATTATTTAGGGTCATGGTATGGTTTGAAGTCATGGTCCACACCAGCCTATACATATCAAGCCTATACATACCTGTCTCAGGTACCCCCTCCCATCTCCAACTAAAAAAAGAAAGCATGAAAGAAAAGAAAATTTTAAAAAAGTCATGCCTAGTATGCATGAAGCTCTGGGTTTGATTCCCACCATGAATCTTCCCCCACCAAAAAAGGAAGCCTGGTGACGAAAGCCAGCTAGACTAGTAAAATGAAGGCCAGGGCTTGGTACCACAGAATGGACTGTTGGAACAAAACTAGAGGCCAGCACCCCTGTATTTCCCCCTTTTCCTCTCCCAGTAAAGCTTTGCTCCCAATGAAACACTGACCAATGTAAAGAAAAACACTTAGCCTCACCACTAGGCACAGCTAGAGGCCAGAATTTCTTGACAAGGCCAAGTCCCGACCTTGAATTTTTCCCAAAGCCCACGTGTTAAAAGCCTGGTTTCCGATGTGGTACCACTGAGAGGTAGAGGAGCCTCTTAGCAGTAAGGCCTAGTGGAAGATGTTTGAGTCACTGACCCTTGAAGGGGACTATGGGATGCTAATCTCCATACATGGCCACATGCTGCTGTGGGATGTTCTGTGTGCTCTGAATGTGTTGCTCTGATTGGTTAATAAATAAAGTGCTGATTGGCCAGTAGCCAGGCAGGCAGTATAGGCGGGATAAAGAGAGAGGAGAAGTCTGGGGAGTGTAAGGCTGAGAGAGGAGACGCTGCCAGACACTACCATGAGAAACAGATGTTAAGATACCGGTAAGCCACGAGCCATGTGGCAACTTACAGATTAATAGAAATGGGTTAATTTAAGATATAAGAACTAGATAGCAAGAAGCCTGCCATGGCCATACACTTTAAAAGTAATATAAATATCTGAGTGATTATTTTATAAGTGGGCTGCGGAACTGCGGGGGCTTGGGGGGGCTTGGTGGGACCCAGAGAGAAACTCTCCAGCTACAACACGCCCCAATCATGATATCCTGCTTCACCACAGTCTGTTTGCCGATTGGTCATGAAGTGAAGCCTCCAATATTACAAACCTTTCCTCTTTGTAAATGGCACGTCTTGTGCATTTTGTTATGAAGACAAAAAAAAAAAAAAAAAAACCTGAATAACATACCAAGCCTAGAATCTCATGGAGGGAGTTAGGACAATCACTTTAAAGCACAGGCTTTGAATCCTGGTTGGATCACTTCTGCACCAGGTGAAGCTGGCACACGTTAGCATGGAGGCAACAAGCAATTAAAAGTGTGAACTCTGTGGAGGGTTAAGATGAAATGGCTCACAGAGTAAGTGCGTTTGTCTCCAGCTCTGACCAGCTGAGTTCTGTCCCTGGGACCCACACAGTAAAAAGAACCAACTCCGGAAAGTTGACCTCTGACCCCCACATTTGGGCTGTAGCATGTACATGCCCACATTCTTCTAGTTAAATCCTAGCATTGATCTTTCCTATTTATCAGACGTTAACCAAGTCATTTAGCCAGCTATTGGCTATCGGAACTAATCTGTGCATCAGTTTCCTTAATTATAAACTGAAAAACTATAACATATCTACTTCATAATGTGGTTATAAGGATTAGATAGAAGAACATGGCACTTCCTAAATTCCCTGTAAATTAAATGGGTTTATAACAATATTCCTGTCACTATTTATTACTTTTTTTTTTATTGTTTTGCTAAGTATCCTGACTAGTCAAGGTAGGAACAAGATCATTGCAATATCCAACTTAGTTTCAGACTGGACCATAAGGATGGACGACACAGGCCAACACTCACTACTTATTTCTGAGATGCACAAAAGGTCCCTTTCTTTCTTCACCCTTCTTGCGACTATGGGAAGCTCCAGGCAGTTAGGGCTGTGATGCTGATGGTGTACCACCCCATCCAGGCCTGCTGCTAATCCATTCAAATAGAACAACTGCTCTCCTTCCTTACATAGGCGTTTCTGGACTGAACAACAGCACTGATGTGCACACACCCTGCCTGCCCAGCCCATGAGGACTGCTCGGGAAGGAAAGTTACCTTCCAACCAGCAGGATTCTTGAGGGGACCCTGACTGCTCTCCAGCCAGGCCAGGCTCACATGACTGATTCCAAAACGACTGAAGCGCTGAAGAAATAGACTAGTGATGGAGTGTGTTCCTAGCAAACTTGAGGCCATAAGTTTAATCTCCAGCACAAAAAAAAAAAAAAAAAAAAAAAAAAAAAAAAAAAAAAAACACCAAAAAACAAAAAACCCAAAACAAAACAAAACAAAACCTGTCCCCAAAGAGTGACTGTGTATCTCTTTGTCCTTTTTCTTCTTCCTCTGTGTTTAAATCCTAGCTGATCAAGTAGAATATGAACTTACACCTCCCCAAGGAGGGGGCAATTCCATCACTGATTGCCTACACACGTGGCAATGGTTAGGGCCTCTCCCCCCAAAGCACCAAATAGACCCATTCCTTCTCTAGGGTCCTCAGACCCAACAAACACAGGCATGTCCATGCATCTTTCTAGTCTCCCATATGTGAGGTCAGCCCTCAGGCAGCCCGGCTGAGCTTCCCTTGTCTGGATTTTAGCTTTCCCACCAAAGACTAGACTAGTGAATTCAATGACTGGGGTGCCATGAAGATGATGATGGAAAGAGCAGGAGACTCAGAACTGACTCAGATCATCCCCCATGCTAGTTCAGGAGTCCCTTCCTTAGTCATACATAAAGCTGTCTCTAGCAGCAGGCGCCGGAGCACTCAGTGTTGAGACTGCTTTGCCAGCACAGATGTGGTAGCTGTCAGCAAAGCCTGGGCAGGACGAGTGGAGCCTTACCTCCCATTGGGTCTCCTCCAGGGCAGGGGCGAAGTTGGTCTTCTCCCGCTCGTAGGAGCGCAGCTTGGTCTCCAGCAGGTCCTGCTCCTTCATGAGGCTCTCGAGCTCCTGCCGCAGCTGCCGCTTCTCCTGCTGCAGCTGCAGCACCTGCAGCTGGAGCACCTGCTGTGTGCGCTGGCTCTTCTGCGAGGCTGGCTTCAGCTTGCTCTTGGGTTCCAGGCACTCCAGCTCGTCCCGGGTTCGCCTTGGCCGCTCCTCAAAGGTCGGGCCAGAGACGAACTCCTTCTCGTCGAAACTGCGCTGTAGCCTCTGCAGCGCGCTTTCCCTCTGCAGCAGCTTCTGCTCCAGCTCCTGGATGGTGCACTCATCCGTGGAGAGCGGGGAACGCACACATGACGAGCCCTTGTCTCCCTTGCCTGGGTGAGCCAGCTTGCTGCCCCCATCAGAGAACGACAGAGCCTTTAGGCTCATCATGTTACTGTCCTGAAGGATGATGCCTTGCGTGATGTTGTGGGCTGAACCTCCAAAACGGCTGGTAGGCCCCACGGGGGTGACCAGAGGATCCAGCTGGTAGCTGCTGGTGGTGCTATGCGTGGGCAGGCTGGACATGGAGTTCCGGCCCGAGTCAGACAGTGCCCCTGAGCACTGGCCTGGCTTCAGCTCCTGTTCCTTGGGCTTGTCTGGAGGCATGGGGTGAAGCTGGTGGCTGGCACTCTCGGGTGAAGAGTGGAGGATGGCTCCTGACCGTGGCAGCACAGGCTTGAAGGCAGTGGGCCTCACTGCCCCCTTGTCTGAGCTCTGGGAAAACAAAGGACCACACAGACTTGAATGTCCCTTCCAGACTCAACCCACCTTTCCTCACAGTGGGCGCACATATGCCACCCTCATGAGCCCACCTGAGCTCAGAGCCCAAGTGACACCCTTCTTGGTTGGTAGCCACCCCAAACCTTGTCATTTGTTCTGGATGGGCTGAGTATAGAATGCTTTTCTTGTGTACTTGTATGTGTCTGTGTACATCCATGCCACAGCATATAGGTGGAGGTCAGAGACAGCTTACAGGAAGGAGTCAGTTCTCTCCTTCCACCAGGTGGAAGTCAGGTTGTCAGGCTTAGTGGCAAGCCCTCAACTGCTGAGGTATCTCACCCACCTCAGTACACCATGATTAAGAAGCCCTCTGAGGGAGCTGGAGGCAGTGGCTAAGAGCACTGGCTGCTCTTTCAGAGGACCTAGATTCTATTCCCCACACTCATATGGTGGCTCACAACTGTTTTGTAACTCTAGTTCCAGGGGATCCGATACACTCTCCCAGCCTCTGTGGGTACCAGGCACACATGTGGTACACATACATACATGTAGGCAAAGACCCATATGCATAAAAAAATAAAAATAAACAAATCTTACAAAATAATAAGAAAACACTCTAAGGCCAGGCATGATGGCATATGCCTTTAGTTATTTAACTTGGGAGGCAGAGGCAAGCAGATCTCTGTGAGTTCCAGGCCATCCTGGTCTGTACAGAGAATTCTGGACAGTTTCAAACACACACACACACACACACACACACACACACACACACACACACACACACACTACCTCTGTACCTAAGAACGTCTTCAGTGATGGCCTAGGCACTAACAGCAACCGCTGCCACCTGGTCCCGCCCTCTAGAGAGGCTGGATGGGGACTGAGATGTGGTACAGTTAGGACAGCAGACTGCGTCCGCTCAGCACCCCCTTCCCCCCGCGCCTCTTCCACTGAGCCCAGCACAAGACTGTTCATCACTACTTCCAGTCCAGGTTGGAAGTTTTCTGAAATTTGCAGTTTCCCTCAGAGGAGGACTCTGCCCTTCACAGGGCCTTTGTTTGGAAAGCTCTGTGCAAACACTGGCATCTTTCTTAATCTAGGTTGGGAATTACTGGCCCTAAAAAATCTCATATCTGAAGTGCTCCAGAATCTGCAAGGCTTTGAATTCAAACAAAGATGCCAAGAGTGGGGAGAAAAAAAACACACGCTAGGAGATTTGTGGTTTGTGCCTAAATCATTTAAAACATCCTATAATCATCTTCCACTTTTGTGTGTCAGGTATATAAGAAACATAAATGAATATTGTGCTTAGGTGTTTCATTATGTCTGTTCAAATATTTCATAGTCTGAAAGAAAACAGCCCTGAAACCCCTGGAACTCCTGTTCACAAGCATTTCCGGTAAGGGGTATTTAAAGTTTTCAAGCCATTGACTCTGCCACAGAGTGGCCACGGGGACTAAACAGGTAACTTGTTTCCAGTGTGCGCTAGTGAGCTTACGAGAGCCTGAACTGTTGGAGGGGCTAGATGTCCAAATACCCAGGGCTCTTGTGGGCAGCCTTGCTCATTTGACAAGAACAAAATCCCAGGGCCCTTCTCCAGCCAAGGGGACCAGAAACCAAACCACAGGTAGGACAGGGTGAGAATGCTCACCTCCTAGAGGCCTCTCGAGAGCGTCTTCCTCCTCCTGTCAACTCTTCCAGGGGGGTAAGGGCCCCTCTTCTTCCCTAGCCTGTGAACTGGCTGACATTTGGCCGACTTGAACCACCCAGGTCATGTCAGAGCAGAGTCCAGAAAGGCTAGGATTCCCCTTTGCCTCTGCGACAGGGCAAACCTAAGATTTCCGGTTTAGGGGATAGACTTTGGATTTCTGCAGTGAGGCCAAATACGTCTGGTCTCACCACTGCTGCTCTGGCCTCTTGAAGGTCTAAATGCTTGGATCAAGGTACTCAGCCCTACTACTTCTCACCCTGTTCCAGCGCCCCTAGACACCTTTGTCAGAGAACCTCACTTACCATTTCCAGCTGATTGGAGAAGGGCAGGAGCTTAGGTGGGGTGGCTGGGTCAAAATCTATGCCAGCCTGCCCCCCCATGTCCCCACTGGATAGGGCTGTGTAGTCTGGGCGGTGGGAGCCTCGGGCCTTCTGGCTGACCTTGATGTAGAAGAAGTCTTCGCTTTTTCCCATTTTGGAACTAGACTTGCCGCGTCCTGAGTCCTGGGAGAAGCCAAATCTCAGCAGCCCATCCGAGTAGCGGTTGAGCTTCTTGAGGTGGGAGGATTTGCGCAACTTGTACTGCGAGGCGCGGCAGTGCTTGCTATGGAAGCCGTGGCCTGAGATGAGGCTGCTGACACTGCCCATGGTGACACGTGGCCAAGGGCCGGCAGGGTAGACCAGGGGCCTGGAGACACTGTAGCAGCAAAATGTAGTCCTGGCACAGCCAGGGGACTGTAGTCAGAGCAAAACCCTCTCAGAGCCTGGGAGAGCCATGGACCTGGAAAGAGACACAGAGGGAGGTCATGGACCTAGACACGGCACCGCCATGATGATGTCAGGAGTGTTGTTCCTACCATTGAAACCTGGATGGTAGAGAAATGTGTCGGCCAGATGCTAGCTCTGCTTCTTCTACCTATGAGTGTTTCCATCATTCTGATGATATGAACAGGCCAGATGATATGATATGGCCATCCAGTGGAGCTGAAGCACAGGATCATGGAACGAGTATGTCACTACCCATGGATCCCCATGTGGATAGATAGCCCATACCTAATCTACAGGACCTGTTTCAACTATGCTAAGGAGAAGTCAGGATGTTTATGGGGAGGGGCACAGAGTTCTGTATACCCAGGGAGTATGAAGGTTTAGATGCATCCATCTCCAATGACATATGCTCATGGTATTTGGGAATGTGATTTGAACTCACTAGTTTTAGATGAGATCATGATGCAGGGGGCCTCATGATGGTATTAGTGGCTCTGTAAGAGGAAGTAAATCCAGGTGTGGTAGCGCATACCTATAATCCCAGCACTTAGAGGATAGAGGCAGAAAGATGGAAAATTCAAGGCTAGCCGGTGCTGCATGTTAAAGACAGAAAAAGCCTAGGCTACATCATAGTCAGAATCCATCTTTTTAGAAAAGGAGAAAGGGGGAACAGGGAAGAAGAGGAGGAGCAAGAAAGAGACATACTAGGACACTTGCTCTATCTGGAAATGTGCTGTCTTGTACAATCCCTTCCCCAGGGGGTGGGGGTGTAAAGAGCACTCTTCTTCACAGCAAGAAGGTCTTGACCAGATGTGAATGCCCTACCCTTCTTGAACTTCTTAGGCTTTGAACTGGGAGCTGAGCATGCCTATATTCTTCATAAATTATTCTGGTTATGGCCTTTTGTCATAGCAACAATGGTGTTGTCAGAGTCCCTTAGAGGAGATCTCAAAAACCTGAGGAGCAGGCCATGGGAATCTGGGAAGGACAAAGCTTCAAGAAGCCACAAGTACCAGAGGCCTGAGAACTTGAGGCAGAGGGTGCTCCTTGGGGCCAGCTGGGACACCATCCTGACTGGAAAGCCACGAGGCTGGCAAGGCAAGCTGGAGCAGCAGCAGCAGCAGCAGCAGCAGGCAGAGAGACTGCAGGTTGGTCCACGGAGCAGGAAGCTGGGCAACGGCAAGGATTTTAGCTCGACTGAGACAGAGGCGAGTGTAAGGAAGGGACCACTTCAATTCCTGTGCTGCAGAAGGCCACTGTGGCCGCTGGGTAAAGGGGCTATCGAGGGGCTCAGCTATTCCAGTGACTGATTCAGCTGGGCCAGGGTAACTGGGAACTGTTTTACACGCACTTTCAAGGCTGGTCTGACAGGGTTTGCAGACGGATGTGGTAAAGTGAGTGAGAGAAAGAGAAGTCAAGAAGGGCTCTGTGGGGTCGGGGAGGACGGAGGTTGGAGGACGTAGATCATTGGTAATGCCCTAGCAACAGAGAAGGCATTCTAGAGAGACGCAAAGGATCTCAAAGAATTAAAGCTTCCCCAGGAATCTGGAGGGACGGGACCTGAAGCCCCCCTGACATCCAGAGGGGTTGTTGCTTCTCAGGAGATTTCAGACACTTCTGACAACTTATGGGAGCACCCTGCAAGAGCGACTGAGTCCGTGATGGACAGGACCAACCCTTTACCAGGACTGCTTAATTATGTGTACCCCCAGCCCTCAAGTCAAACCTCAAATCAGCTACTCTGGAGATGGACTTGAACAGGAGTGCCACTTACCCTTTATCTATTCCCCCTCCCCACATGTCCACATTAAATAAATCTCCCTTCTCTAATGATTGTTCAATTGTTTAATTGGTATTACCGGGGATGGATAGCAGAGCCTAGCTCATTGGGGCTGCCAAAGCCCAGGCTTTTATTTAAAATTCTATTAACAGTAGGGAAGTTACCAAGGATGCACAAGGACCTAGATTCTATCCCTAGCACGCACGTGAGTATACACACACACACACACACACACACACACACACACACATACACACACACAAAAAAAAAAAGAAAAAGAAAAAGAAATAGAAATAAAGAGAAAAAGCAAATAAATAACTTTAAGAATTATTTTTTTAAATGTTAATGTTTTTATAAAGCAGCCAAGGATTTGTCACTAATTGAAACAAGGAAGATCACAAGCTGAGCAACTGTAGGTGAGTGGAGCTGAAGAACGGGGTTTGGTTTGAGGCTGTAGGTTTGTGAAAGCTGATGGGCAGGCACCTGGGCTTGATGGAGTAGGAAGGCTGTAGGCAGTGAGGGAGGCGCCGGAGCTGCGGATTTACAGCAAAGGTGTGAGTGTGCAGAGACCGCTGATAAAGGAGCTGCAGCTGCAGAAAGACAAGTCTGGGGATGCATGGGTTCAGGGAGCAAGCTCAGGAGGCAGGGAGGATGATGAGAGCGGAGGCCGTCCACACACAGGAGGACCGTCTGCATTCTGCACACTGTGTCACTCAAGACTGGGTCCTGTCTTCTATTGTGTGGATTCCTGGGATCAAACCTGAGCCCCCAGGCTTGGTGGCAAGTGCCTTTACCCAGTGAGCATCACCTCTTGGGCAGATGGTTCCTCCTTTCTTGCACAGCACGTACACATTGGTGAGGATCATACATGCCATGTTGTAAGGCCAGACCACTGGCTTTGGCTAAGAAAAATTTCAATATGAAAACCAACTTTTATTGTTTTGGGGGGTCTTCCTATGTGGCTCTGACTGGGTTGATATTAGAGAGCCCAGACTGCCCTCAAGCTCAACTCAGTCCTCCTGCCTTACTCTCCCTAGTGCTAAGATTACAGATGAACCACCCAGCCTGGCTGAGACGCCCACACTTCGATAGGAACTGTAGGAAGATGGAGCATGCTTACGGAGTGCAGTGTGATGCTTGGCACAGTACGTGTGCCCCTACAGATATGTCTAGGATAAACAGAAGCCTATGACAGCATGGTGCCTTCAAAAGCCAGTGACAGATGAAGTGTAACTGCAACATGGGGCATGTGTGTATTAAGTTTGAATGCTAATGGCTTCCCCCCAGCGTATGTATTTGAATACTTGGGTCCCAGCTGGTGGAACTGTTTTGGGAAGCTGTGGAACCTTTCGGACTGAGATCTGACAGGCAGACATAGGGCCATGTGAGTAAAGCAGGAGAGACACAGCCAGTTCTTGTTTCATCCAGAATTCTCTGTTTCCCGATCCATCAAGATGTGAGCAGCAGGGCTGTAGAGATGGGTCCATGGATGAAGGGCTTGCCATGCAAGTGGGAGGCTAGAATTCAGACCCCCAGAACCCATAAGAATAGCGCAGGCATGGTGACCCACCTGACAAGCCCAAGGTTCGAGTTAGAGACCTGGTTTCAACAGAGAAAGGTAGATACCGAGCTTGGATGAAGAAGGAGGCTTGACACCAACTTCTGGCCTCCATGTACACATGGATACATGTGCACCTCCATACATGTGTGCCCATATACATGTGAACACACATACACACATATGAAAAAAAACCCACAAAATATAAAACGTGAAGAGCCCCAACTGCATACCCTGGCCACCATGCTTTCTCTGCCTGATAGGCTGTGTGACCCTCTCAAGCTCTGAGGTGAGATCAGCCGTCCTCCCCTCCTGCAAGTTGCTTCTGTCAGGTATTCTAGTGCAGCAACAAGGAAGGCAAGTGATAAACATACTAAATAAATCTGTTTCGGGCTGTTATGCCTGCCATCTCCTCTCCCCTGGCTCTTGCATCAAAGGTGAGATGGCCAATGCCTTTCCCCATTTGTTTGTTACACACATCACAAACACTGGGCGTCTACAGTGCAAACCCTGCCAGGCTTCCCATCACGCTCACAGTAAATCTTAAGGCTCCTCTCCACATCCCGAATCCTTCGCTGACATCCACAGTCACAGCAGCACTGCTTCTCTCTGGGCAGTGAGCACCAGAGGCTTTGCCCACTTCGGGCACGCTCATCTGCGCTTGGTCTGCCTGGCCTCCATATACGTGACTCTCGCCCTTTGCTCCCAACTCACCTCCTTGTATCCTAGACAAGTACAGCTCCTCCACTGCTTTCCACAACCAACCCACTTATTTTCCATCTAATAATTCCTTTAGCCTATAACACTCTTATTTTAAAATGTAGTTTATTGCACATATCTCCACCATATTTGAATTCTGTGGCAACAAATACTTTGTCATATGCTGTGGATTTTGCTCTATATAAATAAAACACTGATGGCCAGTGACCAGGCAGGAAGTAGGTTGCCAGGCAGGAAGTAGGTGGGACAAGGAGAGAGGAGAATTCTGGGAAGCGGAAGGCTGAGGGGAGAGACACTGCAGCCACCGCCAGGACAAGCAGCATGTGAAGACACCGGTAAGTCACCAGCCATGTGGCAAGGTATAGATTTATAAAAATGGGTTAATTTATGATAAAAAGAACAGTTAGCAAGAAGCCTGCCATGGCCATACAGTTTATAAGTGATATAAGCGTCTGAGTGATTATTTTATAAGTGGATTGTGGGACTGCGGGGCTTGGGGAACCTGGAGAGAAGCCCTCCAGCAACAGTCATATGTGGCAACCAGAACAAAACTGAGGAAGATTAATCAGCAGCTCAGAGAGCTAATGTAATACCTCAGACAGTCAGCTCACCCCTGAGCAACGGGGGCCTTGAACTTAGATCTGCATGTCACCATCTGTTAGATGAACATAGATCTATACTATCACATGCTGTTGAGGATGTAGACTCAGAGATGTTTAGCTCCTGTCCCAATGACCAATGTGAGTCCCTAAGGTTGGGAGAAAACCTAGAGGAGAAAACAAGGACCAGAGCCTCCAGCCACACCTTCATTTCCTTTAAATACAAATACCAGGAAGGTTCCGGGCACCCTGAGTGGCAGCCTGGGTGACTCTGGATTGCTGTGCACAAATTTCATGCTGGGCGCTCAGAATTGAGAGAAAACAAAGAGCATTAGGAGAAAAGGGAGGTGTGGACA